CATCATTGCTAAGACCAATGTCAAAGAGGATTTTTTTAGTTTCAGGTCGTACATTCAAGTCTTTAATAAATTTTGAGTTGTTTTTTTGTGTGTGGCTTAAGATAGGGTTCCAGTTTCATCATTTTGCATATAGGTGTCCAGTTTCCCAACACCATTGACTGAAGAACCTGTCTTTTCCCCATTGTATATTCTTGGCTCCTCTGTCATAAAATAATTGACCATATATACATATGGGTTTATTTCTGGTTTCTCTATTCTGTTTGATTGACCTATGTGTCTGGTTTTATGCCAATACCTTCCTGTTTTGATTAGTATAGCTTCTAATATTGTTTTAAATCAGGAATTGTGATGCCTCAGCTTTGTTTTTGTGATGATTGCTTTGACTATTCAGGTTCTTTTGTGTTTCCATACAAATTTTAGGATTATTTATTCCACTTCTGTGAAAAATGCCATTGAAAGTTTGAGAGGGATTGCATTGACCCTGTAGATTGCTTTAGGAAGTGTTGACATTTTACCAATATTAATTTTTCCATTTCATAAGAACAGAATATCTTCCATTTATTTGTGTCAATGTTTTGTCTTTTGGACATTTTAAATAGGTGCAACAGTAACGCATTAATTTATAAATTCCTAATGTTTTTATATGCTTATTTGTCATATGTATATCTTTTTTGATGAGGTATTTTTTGGACTTTTACCCATTTTTGAATTGGGTTGTGTGTGTTTTTTATTGTGGGGTTTTAAATCTTCTTTGTACATTTTGGATAACAGTCCTCTGCCAGTTGTGTCTTTTGCAAGTATTTCCCTCAGTTTGTGGCTTGTGATCTCATTCTCTTGACAATGTCATTTGCAGAACAGAAGTTCTCATTTAGCGAAGTCCAGCTTACTAAATTTTTTCATGAATTGTGCCTTTGGTGTTGTACCTAAATGTCATCACCATACCCAAGGACATCTACATTTTCTCCTGTTATCTTCTGGGAATTGTATACGTTTGAATTTTGCATGTTAATCTTTATGAAAGGAGTAAGATTATGTCCAGATTTATTTTTTTATATGTGAATGTCCAGTTATTCCAGCACCATTTGTGGAAAAGACTCTCTTTTCTCTATTGCATTGTCTTTGCTCCTTTGTGAATGATTAGTTAAGTATATTTATGAGGGCCTACTTCTGGGTTCTTCATTCTGTTCCATTGCTCTATTTGAAATTAAAAACACATTTCCATTTACTTTTGTACCCTTCCAAAATGAAATACTTAGAGACTAATCTAACACAACTATGTATAAGATCTATATGAAGAAACTACAAAATTCTGATAAAAGAAATCAAAGAACTAAATAAATGAAGAGATATTCCATATTCATGAATAGGAGGACTCAATATTGTCAAGATGTTGGTTCTTCCCAACTTGATCTACAGATTCAATCCAATCTTAATGAAAATCCCAGTAAGTTATTTGTGGATATCAACAATCTGATTTTAAAGTTTATATGAAAAGGTAAAGACTCAGAATAGCTAATCCAGTATTGAAGGACAAAAACAAAGTTGTATAACCAACTCCACCTGACTTCAAAACTGACTATAATGCTTACAGAAATGAAGACAGAGTGTACCGGTGAAAGTGTGGGCCACACTTCCAGGCCAGGGTTTGGTGCACTCTCATTTCCAAATCCTATACAGTCTTTAGTTTCTAGGGACAAGACTTAAAATATTCTTTTATATAAAAATAATTTTATGTTATGTAAAAAAATTAGTAAGCTGGACTTGTTATTTTATGCAGGTTTTATGTTATGCTAATTTTACAATTAATGCAGAATTAAAACTATTAGCAGAAAATGTTGCTATTCGTCTAATAAACTTGGAAGACATAGCTGATAGGATCAGCCCCCAGTGCCCTGCGTCTGGCGTGGCTGCAGCCCGAAGCCCAGCTGGGTGGCAGGCAGGTCCACACACAAGGGCTCAGCTCACGCACCATACGTTCCATGGTCTATACATTCAGTTTGGAATCTGTCCATGGGGGCCTTTAGTGGTGGGAGCGTGTGGGCTCTCACCCAATACAAGACCAATTGCATTTAAACTGGCCTCAAGACACAGGCCACAGTGATGGAGCTGAGGGTGGTTTCTTGTGTGTGTGTCATTTGAAAGTTCACATGCCCTGCCCTGCCCTCGTGTACGGCCCTCCAGCAATCAGCTTTCTGTGAGCTCAGGGCCCAGGGAGGGACTCCCAGTGGTCTGCGGGCACTGGCAGCTGGCAGCTGTCAGATATCTCCCCATCTTGAGAGAGGCACGTGCTGGGTTTCTCACCAGCTGCTCCTGGAGACACATCTCTGAATAATGTGTGTATAGCTTCCTTGTTCCGCTGCATTAGCTGAATTCCAGTAGGATCCCCTGCACTCACTGGGCTGCATGCTTCCTTCCACGTGTGCCACAGTGGCCCTCGGCACGCTGTGCCCTGCGAGACCTGGCACTGCTGGGCACCTGCCCACGCAGAAGGAAACACCAGTTGTGAGTTGCAGGATGTGGCAGATCCAGGATCTCAAACTCCCTTCAGCACTTACAAACTGCCCAGTACATTCCAGACCCCAAACTGCCTTCTTCTGACTTCTGTTCACAGATATGGGGCCAGGGGCCACTGAGCCAGGACACATGCCTGGGGCCTCTTGCAGGGTCGGTGGGGCTGCTCCTTTTCAAGTCTGCCCATTCCACACTGAACTGAGTTGTCCTCCAAATAGTCACTAAACCCAGGAGCACCATTTAGTGAGGAAAGTGCTATAAGGACCTCATGGATGGTGAAGTCTGTGGATGTGTCCTGGACACAGGGAGGGGTCGGCGCACATGTCGGGGAACTCACAGGATGGCGGAGGAGAGCGGGAGATCAAGTCCTGGACATTTATAACTAAACTAGAGGCCAGTTGCATGAAATTCACGCAGGGGGGGAGTCCCTCAACCCGGCCTGCGCCCTCTCCCAATCCGGGACCCCTCGGGGAATGTCGGGCCTAAACCGGCTGTCAGACATCCCTCTCGCAATCCGGGACACTGCATGCACCAGTGACCATACTTTTCATACAGGTGAAAGGCATCTTGCTGCTGTATGGGCAGCTACATTTTTTTTGCCCTGATTATAAAAAGTAGCCAGGGGAATGTCAAGGGGGGGGGGGGGGGGAAGGAGACATATGTAATACTCTTTGTAATACTGTAAGCAATAAAAAAAAAAGTAAAAAAAAATAAAAGTAGTACATAACATGATCCTTCTGAGGCAGTAGTACCATTTTCCCCATCTTATGGGTGGAAAAACTGAAGCAGAGAGAAGTTAAGTAATTGGCGTTGTCACACAGTTATAAGAGTCAGAATCAGGGCTGACCACAAAATGTGCAAGCCAGAGTCCATGCATGTCATCGCTGCATCATCCTGTTTTTTCAGTGTTTAGAGTAGCCTTGTCAGGTTTTGATTTTTAAATCTAAGTGACTGTTCCCAATATATAGGGTAGGGCCCCTAAGCCTGGCCGGCGATCAGGGCCGATCTGTGGGGTGACCCGCAGGGTGATCAGGGGGAGCCTGCTGGCACCCACCTTGGCTAGCCCAGGGCCTGCAGGCTGGGGAAGCTCCTGCTTTGAGGGTCTGCGCCCTGGTGGTCAGTGGGCATCATAGCAACAGGTCATTGTGCCTGTCATTCCGCTGTTCGGTCAATTTGCATATTAGGCTTCTATTATATAGGATGATTGGAATGGCCCGCCCCTTCCCCACCTCCACTTCCCTTCACCCCTGAGGTCTACAGGGAAAAAAGATAAAATGTTCTAGATTGACCTAGAAAATACCTTGAGGGAAAGACACAGGTTCTTACTAAAAAACATGTTCAGGGATGTCAGACTGTCCTTCCCTCTTGCATTCCCCTTTGGGAAGCACCTTGGGAGTTATTCTGGGTGGACAGCAGCCTCGGGCTGGCCAGCTGGACACTTGGACAAGTTAGTGACACTTTCTGTGGTTCGTTCCCACCCACTAACGCAAGGTGATGCGGTTGTCTCGCAGGTGAACTTGAGATTTGGAACTAATCATTTTTCTAATTCAGCTATTTTTTCTTGGATTACTTAATTTAATACAGCCGTGGGCAAACTACGGCCCGCGGGCCGCATCCGGCCCGTTTGAAATGAATAAAACTAAAAAAAAAAAAAAAAAAGACCGTACCTTTTTATGTAATGATGCTTACTTTGAATTTATATCAGTTCACACAAACACTCCATCCATGCTTTTGTTCCGGCCCTCCGGTCCAGTTTAAGAACCCATTGTGGCCCTCGAGTCAAAAAGTTTGCCCACCCCTGATTTAATATCTACTTTGGACCTGCCTCTGTGCTTGACGCTTTCATAGCATCTTTTGAGGTTAGTGAGTCCCAAAACTTTAAAGAAGGAGAGGGCCTATGTTCGCAGGTCCATGTGTTGTGTTTTGTTTTCCATCAGATGACATCACCCAGTCACTGTGAATGAACTTGCTGTCCTAACGACTGAGGCGTACAGACCCCCAGCATGCAGACCAGAGGGGGTGGTGGTGGAGGGATCCGGTTACCCCCCCAGCGCCCCCCATCGCTTGCAGCTCAGGCGCCTGCTGCCGCGACTGTCCCTGGTGGCTCTGCTCACCATCCAGTTACTCAAAGGGGCAAAAGCATTTCTGAGGGTTTGCTGGGTACCAACCACCACCCTTGAGATCCTTGAGATTCTGTTCTCCGACCGATGCTGTTCGGCCCTTCTATTGTTTTAGACCTTGAACTGCCTCCCGGGGCCGGATTCACTCCCAGCCTAGACCAGATGGCTCCCAGCTTCTCCCTTCTGAGCTCCTTCCTGGGCACCGATACCCATCCTGGGCACGCTGGTGCCGGCGGTGAGACCCGCCACGCTCACAGTGGCCCCAAGTCGGTGCCCTTCCAGGTGCAACCGTCCACGCCCCTCCCCAGGCAGCCTTCTGTGCGGTCCTACGTCCCCTCACAGACTTCCAGGGCAGCCTGTATCATAAGTGTGCTCGCTTCGGCAGCACATATACTAAAATTGGAACATACAGAGATTAGCATGGTCCCTGCACAAGGATGACATGTACATTGGTGAAGCGTTCCACCTTTAAAAAAAATAAGTCAGGCATCAAACTGAGATTCGCTGAGAAGACAAGGAGCTCTGTGAGGACAGAAACCATGAGTTCTCGTGTTTGTTTCTCTGAGGCCTAGCATATTGACATATATGTCATATTTGGTTGAAGGAAGGAAAGAAGGAAGAAGGAAGGAAGGAAGGAAGGAAGGAAGGAAGGAAGGAAGGAAGGAAGGAAGGAAGGGAGACAGGATGGATGAGGAGAGGGGCTTAGATATAAAAAGGAAAATGGCAGACGGCATAGGAATGGGAAAAAATGTTAGTTCGATACCTAAAGCTACAGTTGACAAATTTCCATTGTCCGTAATAATAGATTTGGAGCCATTCTTTTGGCACATGTTCTAGAAACAAGTTTGAGGCCTCCAGTTCTTACCTAGATGCCAACCAAAGTAAGAAAAGCTACCAGTTCCATTGTTGGCCCAATTTAACAAACAAATTAGTCGCAGATTCCAGAGAGGACTCCAGGTTGGTAGGATTGACTATTGAACTTGGTTTTTTTAAATCAGACCATTTATTTAAATTAAAAAAAACATTTGATTGATTTGAGAGAGACAGTGATGTGTTATTCCTCTTACCCATGCATTCACTGGTTGATTCTTGTATGTGCCCTGACCGGGGTCAGACCCACAACCTTGGCGTATGGGGCCGATGCTCTAACCAACTTGGCTTCCTGGGCAGGGCTTATTGAACTTGGCTTTTTAAATGAAATGCTGCTGACCTGTTCCAGTGTCTTCCAGATAAGCACAACTCGCTGAGACTATGCTTAGAAAGGAAAGAAAATAGTGGCTTGTGCTCAAAGATTAAGGGCTCATTCTTGCAAATTGACTCTACTTCAGGGATCAGGCTACACTAGGAAAATGTCTGGCAGTGCTGGTGTCTACCCAGGAGAGCAGCCTCCTAATGGGTTGTGGTCTACCTTTGTGCAGAGATGTGAGTGAGACAGCAATGCTGCCCTGTCCCCAGTCGACCTAATGGGTCAGCGGCATGACAGTATGACATGTCACCTATGACCACAGAGGGGTAAACAAGGTTCAGCAAGATTGGCTTGGCAACCTTTATCAAAAAAACCTTATGGTGCAATGTGGAGGCCCTATCTGCCTTGTCCACCCTCAGGACTGGCAGCCACATGAACGGACTAAGAGTGTAATGCAAGCATGTCAAACTTGCGGCCCGCAGGCAGCATGCAGCCCACAACAAATACTTTTGCGGCCCAGCCAATATAACAGTATGTAAGAAACATTTTAATAAAACTTTCATAACTTCATTTTTACAATATCTTGTTATACATAATCCTATATAATAAAAGCCTAATATGCTAAGTATCTGACCAATCATTCAACCAGTCGCTATGACGCACACTGACCACCAGGAAGCAGACCCTCCAACCAGTAGATTAGCTTGCTGCTGGGGTCCGGCTGATCAGGTCTGGGCTAGACAGGCCGGACACTCCCTGGAGCCCTCCCGCGGTCCTTCCCTGGCCCTGATTGTGCACCGGTGGGGTCCTTCGGCCTGGCCTGCACCCTCACAAATCCAGGACCCCTCGGGGGATGTCGAGAGCTGGTTTCGGCCCAATCCCCTCAGGCCAGGCCAAGGGACCCCACTGGTGCATGAATCCGTGCACCTCCCTCTAGTTATTAATAACGAACTACATAATGCACTAATGACTGATTACTAGAATCGTGTTGCATTCATTTCCCTTACGTGCCTTACGCGCAGGTGCATCATTTCTCTCCACTAATACTAGCAGCGAATATTTTAGCAGCCGATGGCCACGTCATTAGTCTTGGACTGACTTGTTTGGTGTGCGTAACAGGAAATATTTCGCTTTCAGAGATTTATTTGCGTTACGCTTATTTGTGCAGTTATTCAAGTGCCTGGTAAGTTAATGTTCAAGAAAAAATATTAATTTTTATTAAAATGTCCTATTATTTTATGTTAATGATTACTCATTTATTTCAGCCCTTTGTATTCAGCATGTCTCTATTAAAATAAATCTATGTTTCTATGAAAATTGAAGCTTTTGTTTTTTTGCAGCCCACATCAACCTAAACCTTATTTATTTGGCCCATGTTACCTTTGAGTTTGACATGCTTAGTATAATGGCTGAAATGAACTAGAGCAAGAGGGTGGTGAGAAGAGAGGAGGTGGGGTTTGAAGCAGGGAGCGAGGTAGCCTTGTGTGAGGACCATTTGAAAAGTGGAGCAAAGGGCATTATCCAATCTGAATCTTGCTTTAAGAGCCGATGGGGCAAGGCCCTGGCACTGCCATGTCTCCTCTCCTCACCTCTGACCCAGTTCTGAGCACCAGTCCTGTGGCCCATGTGGCACAACCTGTTCTTAGCTACCATTCAGCTCCCCATTGGGATAGAACAGGTAGTGAAAGAGTTAAGGGGTCACCTACTCAACATAGAATCTTCTAGGCTCAGATGAATGAAGTGGTTAAAGAGAAAAATGTTATTGCTACAGGAAAGATCTCCAGATGGGACTTTTTTCCTTCTGTTCCCTCAACACCCATGGCGTAAGAGACCACATGATACCAGTCCCTGCTGGGATGGCCTTGAACAAACACGACCTTAGACGCATGAACCCAGAAGACTCATGTGATCAGCTTTTACCCAAAGGGTTTCCACAAGCCCCCAATACTAAAATAAAATAGAACTATAATCTGTTAAATTTGTATAAATCTAAAGGGAAATGCAATATATAAAACTGAGTCTTCAGCCCAGGTTTTGGTCATGGGCATGTTGCCCTCGTGATGACAAGCAAGATTCCCTCCATTGTAACCAGGACTCACCAAGAGTATGAAGGGAAAGGCACCCACAATGAAAGGAGAAATGATCATCAATGCCAGGTCCATAAGAAGTGATCGATAAATGGTAAATCTATTATTAGTGCTGTTATCATTATCAGTAGTACTCCAGGCACCCAATAGAGAGGTGTGCTTGCTCGTGTGATGTATTAGTGAGCTCAGGACGCCATAACAAAATAGCACAGACGAGGCAGTTTGAACAACAGAAATGCTCTGATCATGGTTCTGGTGGCTGGAAATGCAAGGTCGAGGTCCCAGTAACGCAGGTTTATTCCAAGGCCTCTTCTGTTGGCATGTAGAAGGCGGGCCTCTCACTGGGCCGCTTTTTTGTGCAGGTGGAGAGGAGAGAGGGAACTCCCTGGTGTCTCTCTTCTCATGAGGACACCAGCAGTATGTGCCTCTATGAGCTCATTTTACCTTCATTACAACTGTAAAGACCCATATCCACATACAGTCACACTGGGGGCTGGGCCTCGCATATGGATGGGAACACAAACATCCAGTCCCCACACCTGGGCACAGTCCGCGAGTGCTGCTCAGAGGTTATCTGATGATGGACATCCGAGTGGTGACATCTCATTCACACCTTATCCCTGGGACTCAAGCCAACTAGGCATGAATTATCAAAGGAAATCTGTCTTATTTGGTAAAATCTTAGGATATGATAGGATTCTTGGAAGATGATGAACTAGATTTTGATCCAAACCATTTTTGGCAAGGCAGGCTGCAGGGCATGTGCTCTGGCTCTTTCTATAAGTTGGTCTCGGGTGCTCAGGCCTGTCCTTGAAAACACTTCACCCTTGCTTCTTGGTCATCAGGGTCACGTTTCTCTGAAAGTAGATTCCCAGAGAGAGACATTCTGCCCTTTAACTGCATTTTGTTTGTTTTTGTTTGTTTTGTTGTGTAAGTACTGGGTCTGCCAGGCCTTCCAGCACTGAAACCCTGCCCTGGGCTCTGCCCACTTGGCAGCCACTGTACACCCCTGGACAGGGGAAGGAGGCAGCTGCTCAACTCCCCTCCCAACCTGGAAGAGTTTATTTTTTAAAATATGGGTTTTATTGATTTTATATACAGAGGAAGGGAGAGGGAGAAACAGAAAGAAACATGGATGTGAGAAACATCCATCAACTCTCTCCTCCTGGGGATCAAGCCCAGAAGCAGGGCATGTGCCCTGACTGGGAATCAATGCACGGGACAACACTCAACCTACTGAGCCGCACGGGCCAGGCCCCGCCTGCAAAGACGTTTAAGTCGGCGCTGGCCCCCGGCAGGATGGAGAACTGGGAGCCGGTGGCACTCCCAGCCTCTCCTCCCAGCCATGTCCTGAACAGAAGAGTGGCAGGCTATTTACGCCTTTCTGGAAATAATGTCCTGGGACGCGATCCAGGAAGGACCTGCAGTACACGCTTCGACGCGGTGCATTCCTGGGCCTTGAGCCGTTTCAAAACCACCGTGTAACCTTGTGTGTTCTTAGAGCGATTCCATGACCTGCTCAGGGGTGCAGTGAGCAGCTGCAATACGATCCGGGATGTTTTCTCCCTCCAGGGAAGTTTTGTTTCCAGATTACTTTGCACGCCCACCGTGAAAGCCTGCTCTGCTGTCCTTCCCGGGCCATCCTCACACCCCACTGCTCGGTGGCACCTCTGATGTCCGACTTTATCCCTTTGCCCACCTACGCTGTTCAAACCTGCAAAACTTCACACACACACAGAAAGAAACAGAGTACTGGGAGGTCATCAAAAGATTCAAACCTTCATAAAGCTGCATAGCATAACTGCTTTTATTTCATTTATTATAAAAATGTTCACAGTTAAGAATGCATCATTTGGGTGGATGTATTGAAAAAACACATTATCAGCAGATCTTTAACAATTTGCAAAGAATCCTATTGTTGATTTTCTTAAACACTCACCAGATCACTGGGAATATTATGATCAAATGTCGTGTCAGGAAACGGAAACAAGGCAGCCCTGACAGAGGACGGGCAGAGCGTGCGCGTCGGTGCACGTGAGCCTGGTCTCAGAGCCGCTGAACAGCGGGCAGAAGCCCACGGCCAGGGCGGCCCCTCCCCATAGGGAGCACCACGGGGCATGTCATTGAACGAAAAATCTTTTAATTCTGACTCCTGACTAGGAGAGACAAACCCCCGAGCTGCAGGCTGCGCCTGTGGCA